GGGGCTGAGCCGGGGCCGGGCCGGCCGGAGCGGGTGCCGCCCCGGGTGCGGAAGCCGTTGGCCCGCCCCGCCGCCGGCCTCGCCCACCCGCCTGCCTCTCGCCCGGCGGCCGCTCCCGGATCCCGATCCCCGCGGGGAGGAGCCAGGTAAGCGATAGCGACAGTTGGGTCGGGAACTGCCGGGAACCCCAGCGCCTCCGCGTTCCACACACAGGCCAGACCGCGCCGCGCCGGCGTCCTGCGCGCTTCCTGCCTCCCCGCTGTCACCTGCAGTTCCTCACTCCTCTGCCATGGACCTTCTAACGGCGGGTTATCTTCCCAGCAAAGGGGCTAAAAATCACTCTTCTCCATAAAAACGAAACCGGAAAGTGTTTCTGCCCATGTTACATGAAAATAGCAATTATCCCTTTGGTTTTCTAAAATGATTCAAAAGAAACAGGAAAACACATCAACTATCATGTGTGAAACAATGTACCATAAATTATTTCACTTCCTTATGCCCATTTTTAGAACTCTCCTGATTCACCAGGTTTGTAGAGAGGCATTTTCATGGGCTTTTTTTTTTCTTTTTAAAATTTTTAGAGACAGAAGGGGGGAGAGTGAGCAAGTGAGAGAAACATTGGTGTGCCCCAACCAGGAATCGAACCCACAACCTTGCAATGCACAGGATGATGCTCCAACCATTGTGCCACACAGGCCAGCGCTTGAGGGGCATTTTGAGACTTTTGGAGGCAGTGGAACTTAGGGCTACTTGATGTCCTTTTGAGCAACACTTCAAGCATGCCTGTTTATCTCATTAAAAGTGTCCCTTCAGTAAATGTAGGCCTTCTACTAGTGAGTAGCTGATTATTCTGATGTCTCTGGAAGTTTCTTTCCTGAGTTGTCATCTTAGCTGCTTCACCTTGTACCCAAGGCAACAAGAGGCCAGCAGCTGCTTTTAAAACACACAACTCCAACCCTAAGGAGCATCGCTTTTTTCACTCTAGCACAGTACTACACCTCAAGGTGAGGAATTCAAACCTCGAACAAGGTGAGGGATTCAAACACCTATTAAAAGAGTAAAGAAACATGGGGTTTTAAATCATCAGTAGACACCCTCCTGCCCTGGATTTTAACAAATGAGAATGTTCCTGTTCCCCCTGAAGGTAAGAAAACATTTACTGAGCACTCATATTTGCCAGCACTTTCCTCCTATCTTATTTAATTCTCATAATAATCTACTCTCTATCCTAATCTTTAAAAGTTATGTAACAAAAGCAATATGTTAATCTTTGATTGAAAATGTCATACCAACAAACGTGACATATTGCAACCATTTTATTCATATGACGCATGGGATAAACCCTTTAACAGCAGTACTGATTCGCCACCACGCATGTGCGTTGATACCTTGGTGAAAATCATGCTTCAGTCAAATTATGTGTGAATTACTTTCACTTCCACATGTATGAAAACATATCTCATTGTCTATATCTCATTGAAAGAACAGCACATAGTCACTTCTTTTTTTCTGGTTTAAATGTATGTAAATGCATTCATATACAATGGATTTTTTTTTTTTTTTTACCACTCAAGGACTTTATAATATACTAACAACTTTTCAGTACACTATTTCTGCTTCGTCGCTTTTTAAAAATTGAAGTGGGGGTGAAAAGCAATACTGTGGTACAAAAGGCCTTTGTACAAGGTCTCTTCTGGAAACATGTTTGAAAAAAGTCATAGTCCTATAATGACTGTAATCAAGATCATCCTACAAGGACATGAACGCAGAGTCACTCTCCTGGAGAGTTTATGACCTTCTTAGGAATACTATGACTGGGGAGGAAGAGTGGAAAGACATTCTAGAGGACTCTCCTGGAGATATATTCTGAACATATTTCAATCCCAGAATGACTATAAAGATGACGTTATAGTTGAAATCATTTTGTTGAAGTTTGTGTCTAGAAAGACACTCAGAATAATATAATGAAATGCTATTATAATGTTTTATGTTTTGTGAAAATATCAGAGGCCACGAAAGCAGAAAAATGTAGCACTGTAACAGAGAATACGGAAACACGTTTGAAGAATAAGCACTTAACACGTAAACATTGTCAATGGTATCTAATAAATTTTCATGTCAAATCTTTTAACCAAACATATAAAATTTTAAATGGCAACTTATAAATCTTCATGTTAAATCTTTTAACAAAATCCACAAATAGATTATAAAAATTGAACAATCATAAATGTCTTATGTATAAAGTTTTAAGGTAAAGTTTAAATTTCTTCATTATTCTGTTGAATCAAATACTTAAGGAATTTTAGTTACTGCAGAGGAGTAGGGGAAACATTTCTAAAATAATTCAGTTATGAAAATATCACGATTAAGGTTTGGCATAGTAGCATTCCAGCAATCCTCAGTCATCCACAAATGTTAGCCGTCCGGGCCCTTCATTCCTCATCCATCTCCTGTATCTCTTCCATCGAGGGTTGTTGGCCAATTTTTGCTTTAGCTCTTCTTCTTGTTCTTGTTTGTAGACCTGTAAGTATAAAAAACACTAGCTGACTTTATAATCCAAAGGGAAGCATTTGTCATAAGCTTTATGGCATATTTACATTTTTCAAATATAAGTTTAGATAAAAGTGTCCAATGAATGTACTGGTTTGTCTTCTGAAGACCATGCACTAAAAATACTAAGCAGTTAAGCACTTGAACATTCAGTGTTAAATACTAAAGAACAGCTTGTACAAGAACTAGCCCTCATTAAAATCATACACAAGCTGAGTTTAAAGGACTTAAACATTCCCTCTCTGCAATTAATGTCCAATATTTAGAATCACACTTCATTTTTTTAACGTATTTTTCTGTAAATTTAACTGGTGGCTTTCGGTATTTGTTGATCCTAACCAAGGAACAAAATGACCTGGTATATACATTTGTCTCCAAATTGAACTTACATCCAATCCACTTTTATTTTCAAAAATAATTATTGGTTTTTCAAAATATTTTACTAAAGTTACCAAAGAAGGTTAAATAAACCACATGGATTAAAAACAAAACATATGCATCTCTGTAACTTTCAGTGGATGTCAACTGACATTAAATGGACAAGTTTTCATAACCAGTTTCAGAGTTATATCAAATTTTACAAAGAAATTATTCTACTTCCAAATTTAGGAAGTAATGACCAAATATATATAATCTCATATAATAACACTAGAGGCCCGGTGCATGAAATTTGTGCACTTGGGGGAGGTGGGGTCCCCTCAGCCTGGATTGTGAGAGGGCACAGGCCAGGCCAAGGGACCCCACCAGTGCACGATCAGGGCAGGGGAGGGATGCGAGAGGTTGGCCAGCCAGAGAAGGACCACGGGAGGGTTCCAGGTGTGTCCGGCCTGTCTCACTCAGTCCCTATCGGCTGGACCCCAGCAGCAGGCTAACCTACCGGTCAGAGCATCTGTCCCCTGGTGGTCAGTGCACATCATAGCGAGCAGTTGAGCAGCCTAAGTATATCATTAGCATATTACGCTTTGATTGGTTGAACAGCCGACTGGACGACCAGACACTTAGCATATTAGGCTTTTATTATATAGGATAATTAAGCCCAGAATAGTACTCTATGAAAGACAGTTTTGTGAATTAGACTGCTTAACCTACTTTAAAAAGAAAACTTTTCAGAAAATTTAGGAGCAAAATAGTATGTTGCCTTCCATTTTTATGTTAGTGATAATCAGGCTGAATATAATTACTTGCAAAAACATTCTGGCAATTTTCAGTAAGTTAAGTTACTTAAATATAATTCAGACTGAAGCTTTACTTTTAGAAAAATCTATTTAGAATATGACATATAAAAAGGAATGTCTCTGAAAATAAAAAAAACAATTATAGTTCAGATTTTTTAGGAAGATTTCACTGTTTTTTATTCCTATATTTAATATATTAACCAAGTAATTTTACCCCAAACCTAACATATTATGGTGAGATGACTAGTTGCTTTAAGACTTTAGCTCCGCAGCTGATTACCTCAAAGTCACTGTTGTAGCTGACAATTGTAGAATATACAGTTATTAAAATGCCCACAGTTTGAGGTACATAGTAAGTCAATTTAATTTAAAAATAAAAGTAACTTTTCATACATATGTTAGTTATTATGTAGAAGAGTCTGTGCTCATTTTGTTTGGAATGAAGCTATTTAAACAAAATTTCCATCTTTTATACCCTCTCTGTGTTTTGTTTTTTTAATCTCCGTGGCTAAGTTTACATGACTGGAAGGAAATTTGGGGAAGACCAAATTTTAGCGAGTGCAGTTAACAGAGAGTTGTTGTGACAGCCTTGCAAACATACATTATCACCCCACTCTAGTTTAACACAACAAATTAGACCATCCTTAACATTTTCAGCATCAAAGTATTTAAAATTTATCTTTTAAAAAAACAAATTACAGATTAAAAATTCACTGTCCCACCCTAGCCAGTTTGGCTCAGTGGCTAGACCATTGGCCTGCAGACTGAAGGGTCCCGGGCCAAGGGCACATGCCTGGGTTGCAGGCTTGATCCTCAGTAGGGGTTGTGCAGGAGGCAGCCCATCAATGATTCTCTCTCATCATTGATGTTTCTATCTCTCTCTCCCTCTCCCATCCTCTCTGAAATCAATAAAGAAATATATATTTTTTAAAAATCCACTGTCCCACTACCAAATATAGTCATACTTTCAATAAAAGACCTTTTTTAAAAAATCCTCACCCAAGGACAAGTTCACTAATTTTTAGAGGGGAAGGAAAACAGAGGGGAGAGAGAGACATCAATGTAAGAGAAAAACATCTATCAGTTGTCTCCTGTAAAAGCCCCAACTGTGGATCAAACCAGCAACTTAGGTCTATGCCCTGACATATCACCTTTCAGTGCATAGGACGATATTCTAACCAACTGAGCTACACTGGCCAGGGTAAAAGTAAGATGTGTATTCATTATTTAGCTCTTGGATTTCAGAAATTTGAGTGCACTTCTGTGATCCTTATCACACAACTAATTTTACCTTGGTATGGAAGGTGACATAAAAATCACAGAAGACTTGTTACTCACCTCATAATTCTCCTTTATCCAGAGCTCCCTTTTAAGAAAAGTTTCTTTTTGATGATCTTCTAGACTATCAAACTGAGACTTTGACATCTTCATAGATTTACGTATGAGATATAGTCTTTCTTCTTCCCCATACTCTTTGCCTTTGATATTGAAATTATAGACCCACCGGCAGTACCAGACTATATATGAGCACAGGTGAACAGGAGCTAAGAGAATTTGAAACAGGAGAAGATCGCGTATCTGGGGTTTTTGATAGCCTCCCTTTATATCTACTTTACTCTTTATAATGTTCTTTATAATGTTCTCCTCCTCATCACGAATTTCCTCTTTGGATTTCTTGTTTCTGCCCTTCTCTTTGGCTTTTCTGAGCAACCCCTGCTCTTTAGCAATCTCCATGGCTTGGATGCGGTACTTGGGCACTGTGGCCAGGTAGTTGATTGCCTTGTCGTAGCTATTCCACCAGCTGAAAAACTAGAATATTTAACAAATAAAAATGGGTGATTTTTATTACCAGAATTCATCTTGGTGAGCACCATCCCTCCCCAAAACCCAAAATCATTAAAAACAGGGATCTCAATAACTTTACACTGCAAGTAAAAGATACAACTGAATAATGCCTCTATGTACAAGGCTGGGTAAGTCAGGTAAGCCCTGAGCTGAGCCAAAAAGCCATTAAATCAGACAGGAGATACCCAAGATGAGAGGTTAGATAGATCAATGGAATCACACACCTGCGACTTCACATCTTTACTATCTGGCTCTTCCCTACTTCACTATTAAGAAATCTCGCTGTAGTTCTCTCTCAAGAGTACAGTCTACTTACTGAAATAAATGTTAAATGGCAAAACTAACTGGTAAGGAACTTGTTTTAAGAACTCAGCATATAGCCTGACTGGCATGGCTCAGTGGTTGAGGGGAAGGGAGAGAAACATCAACTGACTGCCTCCTGCACATCCCCTACTGGGGATCAAGCCCGAAACCGGACATTTGCCCTGACAGGGAATCGAACTGGCCACCTCTCAGTGCATGGGATGATGCCCAACCAACTGAGCCACGTGGGCCATGGCTCTAGTTCAGTTCTAATGACTAGCCCCAGGCAGTGTACACTCTACAGCGGTTCTCAACCTGTGGGTCGCGACCCCTTTGGCGGTCGAATGACCCTTTCACAGGGGTCGCCTAAATACATCCTGCATATCAGATATTTACATTACGATTCATAACAGTAGCAAAATTACAGTTATGAAGTAGCAACGAAAATAATTTTATGGTTGGGGTCACCACAACATGAGGAACTGTATTAAAGGGTCGCAGCATTAGGAAGGTTGAGAACCACTGCTAGCACATACTTAGAGACACACCTATCCACCAATACACACCTGAAACACCGAGATGGCACACACAGTGACCAAAATCACAAGTCTGACGTCCACTCTGGGGGCCAGGCGCCTGCGGTAGTAGTGATAGTAATGGCTGTAGTATTCCTCTGGGTGATCCAGCATGTAGTCATAATCTTTTCGTGTTTCTTCATCCTGTAAAATAACAAGATGTCCAATTTCACAGACATTTCCTAAAATGGCCTCAGTTTATAATCTTTTAAGACAAATCTAGAATTTTTTAATTATGTAAGGTTAATCTGAGTAAAAGCACTGTCAAAATCAAAAAATTTCCGCCCTGCTGGCGTGGCTCAGTGGTTGAGCATCTACCTATGAACCAGGAGATCACGGTCGGGGCACATCCCTGGGTTGCGGGCTTGATCCCCAGTAGGGGTCATGCAGAGGCAGCCCATCAATGATTCTCTTTCATCATTGATGTTTCTATCTCTCTCTCTTTCTCCCTTCCTCTCTGAAATCAATAATAAAAATATATTTATTAAAAATTCCCCTTCCCTCTTCAAAGGCACATTAATTTGTTTCCAGAACTTTAATGTTAGCTATAAAGTATAATAAAAAATATCTCCCTAAATTCTTGAGTACTGTTAGTCCTCCTAGAAAAATAAAAACACTTTAATAACAATTAGTGATGCCTTTTTAGCCAGTGTTGTGCTACTAAGGATGTCTTTGTGTTCTTATAACGGAAGAGCATGTTGACACCTACTCTCAATAACTGTTGATGGGAAAAAATGTTTGTTTCTATTGTAAATATTCACAATCATTTTCCAGCCTTAGGTAGAAGGCTTTCTGTTGAAAGCAATGATTAAGAGAACAAAAAGCAGACGAAGCCAGTCTGTGCCTATAAAACTGAATTATGTTCATCTCAAAGAAACATCTATGCAGAATGGTGGTCCAAGTCTAGCTTTGTGACTTTGGGTGACATTTTCAGCCTCTTTTTTTTTTTTGTAAAATAGAGATAATACTGCTCTTACAGTGTTGTTTTGAATATCAAATAACACATTATATAAAATCTTGTTACAAATACACAGTACTTTACTATTACAAACCTTGCACAGCCCAGTTCATAAACAAGGCAACATATAAACATGTTGAAAATAATTAACACTCTGAAATGCTGCTCTGTTTACAAATGTTCACAAATAAAACATTTCTTAAAACCTTGCATAATTTTAATCAATTTCCAACAGTGATAAATGCCAATCTTTCATTGAGCTACATTGGTTGAAGAGCTACTAAACTAGGTTATGAGTTGCTTTTACCACACAGGAAAAATCTATTTTGTCTTGTGTCTAAAAAAATGTTAAAAACTAAAAGCACAACAGATTCTTTACTCTATAAGTGAGTACACAAAAACCATTATGAAAACAAAGATCTTTTTCACCTAGAGGATTTTTTTTAGATGAATTATTCAACATCCATAAAGTTACAGATTCTTAGGCAAAGACATTTCAAAATCTGCACCTGGTGCTCTGCTACCAAACAGAGGTCCTGGGGTCTGTTCAGGGTCTCCTTCTGAGTCCTCCAAATGTAGTTTCATAGATTTCAAATAAGAAGTTTGCTAATGACAAAAACCTTCACTGTAGCCATAAAGTCATTGCATATTTTCTATTAAGATTTCTCAGGTTGAATGAGCATAATTTCAGTGACAAATCTCTTTCATTACATTCAAAGTATTTTCAACTTCTGACTAGAATTTGAAATTAGATAAACTAAGTACCTAGTATGGTTAGATATAGCTATACTTAAAGTCCCCATGACACTACAGAGGACCAAAATGAGAACTGTGTGCGATATAAGAAGGGCTGTTATTATTTTCAAATTCACTCCTTATATGTTCATTTCTATAAAAAAAAGATTTTCTTGTGGCAATTGCTACTTTTTTTTTTTTTTTTTTTTTTGCTTTTGGGGCTAATGTTATAGAAATGCTCTGCGTTTGGCCTGAAATCCGTGGCTTTTAACTCAGCCTCCCAATCTTGGCAGATGCCCTTTAAAAATGTATTTCTTCACACGTGATTCTTCTCCGACCAGATGAGAGGTAATTTTGAAATTGACTGCCACACTGAGATCAGATTCCTAAAGCCTCCAGCATCACTATCTACATGGGCCCTTCCCCAGCCTGGCTGTCCTTCTGGTCTCCGTGTGGCTGAAATCCCCTATGTGAATGTCATACATCCAATAGTTATCCTTTCTTCTTTGTTCTCTTGTCTTAGTGAAGGTCACATTCCACAGAATGCAGCCTCCATCAAGCATGTCACCCACATCTTCCCGGAGGGTCACCATCTTACCACTGGTCCCTAGATGTGTGACATCATCAAGTCCTGAGCTACTCTAACAGGATGGCCACTCAATGCTCTCCAACCAGCAACTCCAAAACCTAGACCTTGTGTCTGGTCTCTCCACTGCAACCTATAGAGTCTACTCAGAGCCCACGAACAAGCCCTCAAACCACCTCATTCCTGCAAAGGCTTCATTCAGGGCCAAGTCTGACTTCTCTTTGATGGTTTTCTTTTCCCTGGAGTCACCATAAATTTATGACCCACTTTTGGTCATGATTAGAGACAAGAAGGTTAGCCACCTCCTTGTTATAGCATTTAACCGGCCAAAATCTTGACTCAGTTTATAGCCTTCCCTCAGAACGAAGAAAGTGACTTTAGGCTGAGGCATAATGTACTTTAGCAGGTGTTCAAGGTTGGCACAAATTGGAGAGTTAGGAGCTCTCAACGGTCTAAGTCAAAATCCTACTCGTTAGTAACCCACAAAGTTTAGAATCAACCTAATAAGCACACAAGGATACCAGGAATATTAGCAAAAAAGAAAAGACAGAGACTAGAACCCAGTTAGAGAGCTACAGGTACATACTTATTTCAACACCATATATTTATTTTTTTTTTCTCCTATGTATTTTGGAACTAAGATACTCCCACATTTAAAAAAAAAAAATCTCCAGGGCTAATCAGGTAAGTTAAAATTTCCTTGGCAACCAATAAGGCCTCCATACCTGGCCCTATCTTACCAAGCAACACCTCATCACTCTCCCCTCTTCTGTCCACAGCAAATAGATAGTAATTCCTGGAATTTAGTGTGTTTTTCCAATCCAGCATGCTCTCTCAGACCTGTCTTTGAACACAGAATTCAAACTCAAATGCCCATCCCTTTTTTCCAACCTCATGAGCTCCTATTAATCCTTTAGGACACAAATGTTACTGCTTCAGACAGAGTTAGACCACCTTATCACACACATCACCTATTTATTATAGCACTTATCACACTGTAATCACCAATTATTTTCTTTTCCTGGAGTAAGAACTTCTAGAAGATCGGTAGGGTGACTCAGTGATCTCTGTATATCCAAGACCTAGCACAATGCCTGGCACTCAGGAACTATCATTTTAAAAAGGAGTGACATTTTGTAACTCCTTATAACTCACTATACACATCTCCCAGCCACACAGGTCTCCATCTCACCAGGAAGGCTGGATGCGGGATTATGTCACAAAAAACTTCAGTTGAGCAGACACGACTGCTTGATGTCATAGCTTATGAGAGTATGCTACTGTGGCTTAAATAGCTTAAACCTTAAAACAGTTGAATATCTTACCTTTCAACAAGTAGTACTTTTTCTTTCAGCAATTTTGTGGATCTTAAGGTCCCAAGGTCAGGAAGATTCCAACTTCTTTCCAAAACCAAAACCTTTATACTTGTTTCTTCCTCCTCTCTGTCCTGAGCCTTTGCAAGCTGGGCAACAAGCTCCTGGTTTCTAATCTCTACAGGAAAAAAGTGCTGCTGCTGGTGTCCACGCCACTCCCAATCCTCTTGGGCATATGCAGGAGGACTGGAACATAACCACCAATATCTAGATCAAAAGTGAACAAAAGGAAACCCACAAGCAAAGAAAGTACTGCATCCTTCCTTCTCTTAGGAAAAGATCAGTCCCCCCGCCCCAGAGGCAAAAATATATTATTTCTTGCCCTTGAGAGAAATAATTGTTTAATCTTAAGAAACATAAATTGCAATAATTTGATATTGCAGCCAGTTTTACATTAAAAAGTTTCCATTACACAGACAGTAAAAACCATTTTAGGATAGTAAAGGCCAGGAATCAATAATGTATGAAAACATAGTAATATTTTGTTTGGTCTTAAAAATATGTATTAATTCTTTTTTCAAAGAAATACACACAAATGATTTTTTTTTTTTTTTAAAAATCTGTTACCCTAAATTTTTTTTTCCAGGCCATTACATCCTACTAAAGATGATGAAAATTAACTACTATCAGTTTCATTTTTCTTCTTGTTTCCTGCCCACTAGCCACTGTGTCTTCTCTTCTCAGTCTACATGTGATCTCAACAACTCCCATGATTCATAGCATCACATATATATAATCCACTCACACCTGTCCTTCCTGTGTCCACCTATTTTCAAGTATCTCCTGGACATTTCCTAAATGTAACAAAATGTCCAAATTCAACATGCTCCAAACCTAAATCTATACCTCTGTTTCAATGAATAGCGTAGTACCATCATCAACTTGGTTAACTGAGCTTTTAAAAACTTTATTTTCAATTCAGCAAATTATTATGCAAGGCATTAAGCCTTGTGTTGAACTCAAAAGAGGGTAAATAAACCAGTAAGATAAGGCCCAGGGCTCAGGAACTCTCCCACCGAAAAGCCTCTAGTGAGCAAGAAAAGCACAATTTGATGTGCAAAGGAATCAGGAACTGACCCTGCCCGAGGCCACTGGTAATGGGAGTGACAGAAGAGGCAGAGTGAGTGCTGATTTTGAAAAGCAAGGAAAGTGTGGTAAAACCTGCTCCAGGTACAGAGAACAGCAAGTGTTAGGTGCAGAAGAATCAAAGAATAAAGCAGATTTAGTGAAGCTGGAGCACTGGGGAAATTCAGAAAGAAGGGAGTAGCCAATGTGCCAGGAAGGTAAGTGTGGGTAAGAACGGGAGCGGATCGGAGATGCCATGCTAAGGTGTTAGGCTGTTATTGTCTGTGCTAGTCAAAAATAAAATGTTTTCAAGTATGAGACCAAGGCATTGAGAAGAAAGAAGTATGTATTTTTGAAAGATAACTGATAGTATTGTAAAGAATGGGATGAGGGAAAAACAGGTTTTAGAGACTAAGAAGTAGAATGAATAGGACTTAGTGATTAAATTAATCATGTGGAGCATGACAGTGAAGTTTTTAATTATAGTTACTGCGTGGACCATGTTACTCTTAAGATAAAGAAAAGAGGATGAAGACAGCAAATCTGGAGAAGATTCGAGGGGAAACTGTGGAAAATTTTGAAATGGGGAGAAAATTAATTATGGGACATCTTGCCAATTCTTGGAGTCTCCAGGGGTTATCTAGTCCTGAAGGAGGGGTACACCTTTGTCTTTTGAAAAGTCTATTTTAACTTTGTAGAGACAGAACTAACTTGCAGAAAACTGGAAGTCATGCAAATACTTCTTGTTCACAGAAAGACAAACTGTGTCTGGTGTAATGCAGCTGACCATTGCCTTGTCACAATGGCCAGTTTTATAGGCGGGTCAGCAGCCCTTATCTACAGACTATAAGTGTGTGGCATTTTTTTCACTTTTGAACCAATTTTAGTATCTTACTGGTTCCCTCATTCATTAATGAGTTAAAATCTGGTGCATGTTCATTTTGTATTGGTCTGAGTCATAATTACATTGTATTTTTAAATTTCTGCTTTAACCAAGATTAACAAGACTGATTTCAGACATGTTTAATTTGGGGCGCCTGTTCTACAGATGAGAGACAACTGAAAATATGACCTTAGAGAACACAGAGATTTTAGAGCTGTCAAGGATTTAGTTAAGTTTCATTAGGCAAAGCTTAGAAAAGAGTACCAGAAGGATAAAACTTGAAGGAAAAGCAATGTTTAAGGTGTAGGCAGAGGAAAAGAAGACTCTAAAGACCCAAGAGAAATGGCTAGAAAGGTAGGAGAAGCATGAGAGTACTGCATCAAGGGAGCCAAGGAGAATATCTTAACTGCACGGTCAAGAGCATCAAATGCCACACAAAGTTCCAGGAAGAAGAACGCTGAGCCCTCAGCTCTGAGGCTGAGTGCATTGTCCACCCAGGACCAGTCCCAGTACGTGTGCTGATGTACATGTCCGTCTCCAACAGCTTGAATGAAAGGAAGATGAGGAAAGACAGTCAACAGCGGAAAAAGAAGGAAGCTGTGACCACAGATTTTCAAGGAGAGACAGGATCCGCTGACCTATTCGAATTTCTGCATTTGCGAAGAGAGTCTTAAGTTCCCAAAGAGGAATGATGAGATTCCAGAAGAAGACGGAAATAATCAGTTCAGTCACCAGTGCTTTCCTGCCTTCCCCAACCATCCTCAAAACTGTGCCCAGAATTTCCTTTCTGAATCAAACACCAGACTGGTGTGACTTCTCCACTTTGAAGCCTCTGGCAACTATTCAATACATGAACTTCAAATCACTGAACACAGCTTAAAGGGTTGTTCACCATGTGATCCCAGACTGTGTTCCAGGCTCCGGAACATTCTCCCTACAATGCCCCAGACAGGCTTCTTACCTACAGGCAGTACATCCCCTACAGTCTATGAGAAGATGCAAGAAGGTCTTTGTGCTGTGACTCTCAGAATGCTCCGCTTACCCATGATGAATCTGCACAAGCTCAATTAAAATGTCAAGTGCTCAGTTTCTGGCTACAATTACATCATCTCTAGTTTTTGTGTTAATCTGCTTGGTTGTTGATAACACCATGTGTCAGATGGGCACAGCACTAGAATTAAATACATCTAGTGTGTAATCAACCTTGGCCATAAATAGGGTATGGAACAGCTGAAATTAAGGGATCGGTAAAAAATAAACAACACTTACGGGTTCACAGCAGAAGTAGCAAATGTGGCACATAAGGTCCCACACCCTTCTGGGCCCATGGGAGAAATCACTATCAAACTTATCATCTTTCCCACTGAATCCAGACAAGGCCTCAGAACATTCCCAAGTGTTCCAGGGAGTCGTGACCAGACAGAGTTGGCGTGTGAAATAAAGACTGTCTGCTCTCCAGCTGTTCATCAGCATCACAACTGTTATAGAAATTTACATAATTTCTAGTATTTTTATGAATACTAAATTATTAAGGATAACTGATTAAAATCAGGATTGATGCTGGGAAAGAAAAATATTAATACTAATACATGCAGTTCATTCCCCCCCCCCCCCCCAAAAAAAAAGAGTCCCTGGGAACCCAATAATAAAAGTGATCCCTGGTGGAGAAAACCCTCACTACTGTAACACCGCACCAAACTACAGCTCTCTCCTGGAGCAGGCCTCACACTCCGCCTGCATGTTGCTGTTGATCCAGTTTTCCCTCTACCGGAATGTCCGGCATGTCCCTTCGTCGTCAACCTTGGTGACTGTTCTAGATCCAAATCAAAGAGCACACCCTTCTCCGCCCCCCTATTCCCTCAGCTGCTGCGATAGAATCTACACACATTTTTATTATGTAACTTAAATACCCAAACACTAAGTATCTGTCTCCTTGTTATAATAAAAGCTTGAAATAAAAGCTTGACCGCAGGAACTGTGCCCTTTTCGCTGTGACGGCCTCCTCCCCCAGCACCCGTCAGTACTGGCTGCAGAAAGGGGTAAGAAAATATACTCTGGGAGAACAATAAACAGTGACATAAAAGGGCAGGGCGTTCACAATCCCCCTTTTTGCCAAATCCTTCCTAAGTGCTAAAGCCCTGCCGCATCCATCAGACTGGTGTAAAGGAACTAAAGGGCTCCGTGACTCGCTGCCAAGACGAGCTCGAGCAGCAGAGGGCTCTCCCACAAGCCCCTAACTGCCCGCAGGGCCTTCATGCAGCACTTCGAAGACCTTTCCTATGTTCTTCTCGTGTGGTCTCGCAAAATGCAGTCAAATTCTGCTATTTTCGCTTTTTCTACCAATCATAGTTTTTTTTAAGTGCATTCTTCCCACCGATTCCTTTATCTGCTTATTTTTATGCCATCCTTCTTATTTTATACAATTCTTATTTATACTCAAAAAAATGGATTAATGTTCTGACGTAAAAACCTTCAGAACACAGTTTCTCCTGAAAAAAATAGAAGTGCAACTTTCCTCTCATGCAGGGATTTCTCATTCATACCCAACCAATCGACTTTATCTGTACCACTCTTTAAAACCACAACTAATTTGGGGTAAAATGCCAAAGTAGGCTTCAAATACTAATGTCAAAAAACTCCAGAATCCACTTTTGATTTCCAATTTATCTGAATCTCCAGGTATGAGTTTTTACTTAACCGAATTTCTCTATCTGATGTGCCAGACACTGTGCTAGGTGCCGCGGATACACACACAGACAAGCTGAGGAGCGTGGCTTAGTGGCGAGGGGTGAAGGGCTTCAGTATTTACGGTGCAGTGTGATAAGTGCTATATCCACACAAAAAGACCCAGTGTTGACACAGTGAGTGACAGTCCGTTCACTGAACTTCTCAAGTCCATGATTCCCTGAATCCCCAGTAGTCAAATACACTAAATACCATTTCATTGTCTTCACTCATTATGAAGCAAATATAAAGCAGTGGGTGAGATCCTAACGGTTTGAAATCCTGCTGAAATCTGGAATTTTAAGTTATTTTTTAAATTAAATTTATTGGAGTGACAATGGTTAATAAGGTTATATAGGTTTCAAGTCAGACAAAGTTCAGAACCATATGCTTTCACTCATTCGTTGGATATAAAGCTGGGATTTTAAGTTATTTGAGAACATGAACTAGGACGACTTGCTGAAAGCACTGAGCAGTGCCTTTGCCTCCCACCATTACCCATCCTTCTCTTGGTGTTTTCTCAGTCTCTATGCACAGACGGAATCTTGGTTGCTAAAATAACAATGATAGAATCTCTGTTGCTAAAATAACAATGACTAAGAACCACTTTCCCTTTCCACTGAAGACTGTACACTGTTGCCCTAGCTGGTTTGGCTCAGTGGCTAGAGCATTGGACTGTGGACTGGAAGGTCCCGGGTTTGATTCCAGTCAAGGGCACATGCTCGGATTGCGGGCTCGATCCCCAGTAGGGGGCGTGCAGGAGGCAGCCGATCAATGATTCTCTCTCATCACTGATGTTTCTATCTCTCTCTCCCTTCCTCTCTGAAATCAATAAAAATAATTTTTTTTAAAAAAGACTCTACACTGTGTCCCCTGCTGGAGCTGAAACTCTGAAACTCTGAAAAGTGGAGCTAAGCAGAGCTGTCTAGCTGGAGAAGTGGCTGGGCCCGGGGCCACCTACCAGCCATGCTGTGTCACAATTGAGCTGTTTGCACTACAACTTTCCTTCTTCATCACCCCAAATTGGAGGATCTTGTTGGTGTTGAACTGACACCAGCGACCTGCAGTTGACACGATGTCCTGTCTCCGTTCAGAAACCACGAGACCCTTATGCTTGAGTTAGCTTTCCTGCGGTGCCTGGGGGCCTCGGGTTCGTCCTCTCAGATCCGAGATCTCCCACTCTTGCAGCTGATGTCTTGGAGACTATTCAGTTTAGGTGGGGGACCCTCACCCGGTGACCTTGGGTCACCCGTTTGGACCTAGGGGGCCCCTCTACACCATTCGGGTGTGGTGCCTGGGAGGGGTATCCTTCAGTCTTGTTGGGCACCAAGGAGAGTATTCTCCAGGGAAGGCTTTGCTTCTTGGAGGCTGGTACCCAGGGAGGCTATCTTCCAGGTTAGGACTAGGCCTCATCCATACATAAGATCTGGGAGGGTGCTCACCTTGACAGGCACTCAGAGGGGCACCGCCCAAAAGGAGTGCAGAATGGGTAACCCAAGCTCTAAGCTTCACATGCCAATCAGCCACCGCTTGGGGCTCTGGCTGATTACATGGACCAAAATTATGGCCCAGAGAATTGCAAGTGGCTAGGCCCCTGGACAAAGATCACACAAGATGATCGGAAGCTCTGTTGGCAAGACGGGCTCTTCTGCCACGCCAAGGCTTGTTTATTTGTGTGCTCAATAGAACAGAGAAAAGACTGTCCCTCCCAGAAACCATGGGATGCTTTTTTTGGAAACTGGTACCTTGAGAACTCTAAATAAAATCAAGAGGCTACTATCACCTCCCTTAAGAAAACAATATTCTAAATTGGGTAAACGCCTTGATAAATTAAAAAAGAAACCAGTGCTGGCAAAACAAGAAAACTTTTCCTCTGACCCTTGCGCTTGTGACATGAAAATCAGGTTTATTAATAAAACCTCAGGTGATCCCTCACTTTTCAGCTCCTCCTCCCTTACCTACCAGCTGCCTACCCTCCACCTATTCCCCCTCCCACCTTTGACTCCAGGTGGGCAGCAGACATCTGATGCTTAGACTGTACCTGGGGAGCCATTTTTTCAATCTTCTCTCCCCTCCTCCCCCCCGAAAATCTGCACCTTTTAAGATTCAGGACTCTGGAGGCCATTCTCTTTACTTTTGGAGCTTTTCGACTTTATTGTGGACACCTGCTTTCTATTTCTCTTGTTTGTGTTTGTTGATAAGCCCACCTTAAGAAGAAATTTTAAAGGAGAGAATCTCAAAGCTCTCAGAGACAATGCAATGCATTCTTCGATTTAAACAACAACAAACAGCTTTAAAGGAATTCTTACTGCATGCAAAAACTTTGACCACATAAGCAAAACTTCAACTCGGTCCATCTGCCAGAAACATATTTGAATCCATAATTATTCTTTTGGGTTTTGTATTGTGCTGTGTGTTTATGTCTGTCTGTTATAGATATGGTATATTTCTATCACTAGATGGGACTGCCAAATTCTAATTTATATTGCAAAAGGGCCTTATTTAATAGCTTAAAATAAATGAGAACTCATAGAAATTGGAGAAATAACAGAAACTAATGCAATTGCTTTCAAAGTGCACATGATCAAAGATTAATCTTTAGTAAATAAAACTAAGGATGGTGGTTTAATTAAGGAGATGTAGTTGTCCTGCTCTTTAGCTTTGTAACTAACAGACCAGATGGGAAACCAGGGAAATAAATTTGGAGCCTTAATGTGTCATTTTACAAGGCTAGAAGGGCACAAGATGCCTCAGATGAAGATCCATTTGTGACAAAGCCCATTAGGATGTTATGGTGATTGAAAAGGATTCATATAGAGAGTAAGATGTGCGCTTGGTAAAAGAAGGTAAGAGGAATGGAAATACATTTTTATTGATGAAAATAAAAGTAATTGTGTCCTAAAGTAAATGATTGTTCTAAAATTTTAAAAAAGATAGAACAAAAGATAGAAGTTTATAAAAGTTGCAGAAAGTTTGTGTGTGTTGCAGAAGGTTCATAGAAAAGGAATCTTGAAAAAGAAAATCTTATGTGTGGCCAAACTAAAGTTGGAATGGATTTATTTAAGTTACTGGTAACAGAGAGAGAAACCCAAATACCAATTCTGTGTCAGAGTACTTTTCATCTGCCTTGGCTTAAAGCATTTCCCTTGGTATTGCTTAAGGTCAATTCCTTTTGGTATATATTGACTGTCCCCTTCTAAAATTGTTACTGCAAGGCTTATCCTATGAAGCTAGATCAGGGAGTATGGGAACCTGCCTTATTTTAACTTACTGCAAAGAACTTACAAAGGCCCTTGAAATTAATGCAAGCTCAGAGAGCAATCTTTCCACAGGGAGATGACATCGAACATCCTGGCGTACAACATGGAACATGGTCCACCAAAAAGACATCTCCACACGGACTCCCTCCAGCTTCATTGGAGTGGACCATACCAGGTACTGTTAACTAATGCCTGAGTCACGGGTTAAAAGGATACATGAATTCATTTTAAAAGGACACCAAACCTGAACCTCATTCACCTGATTGAACACCCCAGACTCTAGAGACCTCAAATTAAAGTTATCCAGAGCTTGGCTTTTGTCTTGGCAGTTTTACAATAAATGTCTCATCTTTCAGTCTGTATATACCTTGCTGGAAGAGATCATTATGCCAGAAAATGTTCTATTCCATTGGTATTATTTCTTAAGTAACTATTAATACCATTTTTTTTAAATAAATGGATTTAATGAACTCATAGACTGGCAGCTTTCTTTTAAATTCTCTTCTCTCATTTCTGAGCTTATTTTAATCTCAGCCTGTAACTTGTGAATATCTGTCTAGAATTGATTAAATGATTCCAGTTGGGTCCCCATCAGCTCAACGAGACTGTCATGAGTACCATTGATGCAAGGTAAAAGTTAACAAACTAAAGTGTTGTAGACGGAAAACCACACAGGCAAATCCCTCTAAAGATTCCCTTTACACAAAGCTGAGATTTTAGAAGAGAAATGTTAAAGGAAAATAATTACTCAAATAATAACTTATACATGAGTAGAGAGATTTCTTAAAAATAATGTGCCAGAGACTCCCCTTAAGTGTCCTTCATAATAAGGTAGAATTTGATCAAACATATTACCTCACAATTTGTACCTTTACTGCAATTCTTTCATCCAGAGATTTCAAAGTGTTTTTACAAATGTAAATTAACAAGTCTCATCATTACTTCTCTCCACAGAGATGGTTCACTTAAGTAACAGAAATTTACCTAAATGGCCTACTCAAGGTCACCTGAGAAGTCCTCTGTGTCATCTGCTGATGGATATTCAAAGTGTAAAAATACCTGCGGCCTCCTTGCAGATCCAAATTCATAGCATCCTTTGGCAAGTGCCATTGGAGGGATGAATCATCTTCTTTACTCTTTACAGCAAGGCTCCTACCTGTTGGCCTTCCCTCAGCTTCACCAAGCGCCCACATACCGGGAAACGCAGACTTCAGCCCCCCTCTTTCCTATCTTATCTGCACTAAAAGCAGAGTGAGGACAGAACATGACTTTTTCTGAGATGTTTTTATGAATCACTTTGATCAAATAGTTGGCCATATCTTCTTTTGTTCCCCCAAATTCTTCTATTAATCCAGTCAACAAACATTTTTGAAACACGTATTTTGTTGCTACTCACTGTGCTAGACACAGGGGACACTAGTCATGCCCCTCCTTCGTGGGCAGGACAGACAGTAAAAAAGAACCAGCCCCACTGTGGTCAGTGCTATGAAGATGGCAAACGTGATGAGCTGGGGGAGGAACGCAGGAATGGATGGAGCAGGGAAGGCCTCTAGTTGATGTATGGAGCCTGGGGGTAGTTCTGTACAGGAAGGTGACAGGGACCCTAACAGTTGTGGGGGGGGGACTTTTTGGAACTGAAGCAGCAGGTATAGAGTGAGCACTTCCATGTACCACACTTGTGTCTACACAATGTCAAAACATTTTTTAAAAAATAATGACCCTCAACCCCAGCAAAAGAAGAACCCTGGAATATATACTGAAGGACCCATGGGTCAATATGGGCCAGAAGGAGGAACTCTGGCCTAACAGCGAGCCACCCTGGGGCCACATGGACCCCCAAGTAACAGAGATAATGAAGAATCTGGGATTTGAGTGGGACGAGATCCAGGAATCAGAAACAGAAAGTACAACACGTACCTGATCTTAATAAGTTCCACGGAATACAAGGTGAAGGGCCACACTATCAGGGTAAGACCTGGTGTTCCCTTCACCCCACAGTTGCAGTCCTTCCCCAGCCTGAGAGGTTCTTCCATCAGAGAGAAGACCAGAGAGCCTGCCATTCACCCGCCCAGCCCAGCCCCCCAGCGTGGCCTGGGGGCTCCCCTTCCACCCACAGCAGCAACAACAAAAACTCCTTCCATGCTGAGCAGCCTGATGGTGGACCCCAGTTCTCCCTCTGGCCAGTCAGGGCCAGCAGGGGTGGCTAGGAGGGTCTTCAGTTTCCTGTTAAGCCTCATGTACTGCAAGCCATCCACTAACAAGCAGCATGTCTAAAGGACGAGTCAAGCTAATGTAATTCTTAAAATTGTGGATGGCCAAGGCAGGGCCACAAAGACTCAGGGAAGTCAAGCTACACTCCCTGCATTTTAAATGCTGAACTTCAAGGTGCTGAGCTTCCGGGAGGTCAGCCAGAGGCTGGATGCAAACAGCCGCCGGTCCGAGTGGTGCTAGAAATACATGCTGTGTGTGCAGAAACCTGTGAGTGAGAGGGTTCGTATCAGGAAGGTATCCGGCACCTCCACGGCCTTCAGAAGCATCTTAACCGCTTGGAGGACGGCCCGGAGCCCTCTGGGGGTCAAAAGGAGAGGCCGTCCTCACTGTGGGTCCACCCCTTGGCCTCCACTTGAATGAGACTTCAGAGAATGGACTGCTTTTTCCTGGGGCCCTTCTCCCTGGCCCTGCTATTGTTTTCTCCCATTTTGGGGTGATTTTATTAAAGTATTTGGTTCTTCCAAATCTTGTAATAAACTTGATGCTTCAGGAAAAAAACATTAACAATGACTAATTGTGATACTATCTCCTTGTCTTACCAAATGTATTGAAATAACATTAGTGTATTTATTTTTTAACAACCACCATCTAAAAAAAAAAATCTCAAAGTGGCATTTATTTGACCAAGACAGCCTTAGCATCATAAATCCACTAAATCTTACACACATATATTCCATCTGGTGAGGTATTACGCACATTCAGAGATCCTTGACTTTAGAAGTTTTGATGGAACATCACTTCAGGTTATGAGTATATAATATAGCTTCTTATATCATATATGTTAAAAATATTAAGAGACTCTAACAGTCTAACCACTATGCTGTATACCTGAAACTAATACAGAATAATATTGAATATAAACTGTAATTGGAAAAATAAAAAATAATAATAAAAGAAACTCGAACACACCAATAATAAGAGAAATTAAGGCTATGAAAAAAATTTAGGGGAAAAAAAGGCTCAGAGCTCCAACAAATTTACAACTAAATTATTTCAGATTTCAGAGAGAAACAACTTCTGTTAGCTACACTGTTCGAGATGAAATTTACCTGTGCATTCTACAAAGCAAATATAAAATCAACCTTTTCCTCCAAACATATGCCAGCAACTACTGAACACGGTGGTGAAGGGCACAGTCTTCCCATCCCCCGCCCTCCTTTTTGGCTCACTCGTAGATAAGTACACCTCTCACAGGGTTGTACTGTTGTTCTTCATGGAGAAAGAGAGAAAGTATAACAAAAATAGCAAACAAATGAAATGTGGCCCAAGTGTGCAGTGGCTGCTCCAGATGAGATGTGGAATTCTAGATGGGCTTCTGCATTTCGTCTTCATTCCAGAGCCACTGGAACTCACGCACTTCTCCCACTCTTCTGTCCATCTGACCTCCTCCTAGTAACAGAGGCCATGGGGACCCCTTATCCTTCACAAGCTTTCCAGCCCGCAGACATAATCCATGCAAAAGCAGTTACACCCCCTTTGCCTCAAGAGCTAACTTGGAAGGCGGGGGCCATCTAAACTGAATGGCCCCGGTTCATTGGATCTCTGCATTACCCAGAAATGTTACTCCCTGGCAACATTCTCACAGCTTTCCCGGATGACAGAAATAAAATCAGACCACCCTGTGTGTTTTTAATAACTTCTTCGACACAAAGCAAGTCAGAGTCCTTTTCCTTATTCCAGGAGAAGGCGTCTGCAACAAGTTTTTGTAAGTTTCCTGAGCCGTTCCAATGAAAATGGAATCCATGTCTATTTCTATAAATTTAAAAGGGACTTTTCACAGAGCTTGGCTACGTCTGATTTTCAAGGATCCAACTATCCTTAGACATCCCTTTACTCTCCAGATAATTCCTATTCTCTTGCAGTAATACCATAGGACGCTCCCGCACTCCCTCCTCCTTCGGTGCAACTGCAATTTCGTTCTCCTGTTTGGAGGCTTAGTAGCTACCACAAACCACTGGTGGGCATCAAGAATAAGAGTGTTACTTTCTCCAGACATACTCGTTTTTAACTGCCCAAAAGTTCCTTGTTCGCGAGTGGACTAGCCATTTTAATGCATTTTTTATTAGCTGACAAATCAATGCTAAACTTTAGGGGTAGAAACCTTTAGAGGCAACTATTACAGATCCGCCAGATCAGCCTCTAAATCTGCCTCTTCGAGAAAAATGTCGAGAGTATTTAGATCTTGAGTTTCCTCCAGCAAGAATGTCTCTACTGTCTGTCTTCCTTGGCATGTGTTTCACTAACATGTTTACCATTCTCAGGCCAAACATACCCATCTCCAACCACAGCAGAAGGAGCAGTTGCTAGTGTTTCTGCTGCCCTCTCTTCTTGAAGTTCTCCATCTGCCAGTGCCTCCTGATACGCCTCCAGGGCCTTGGAGGGCCAGCAGCAGGCTTTCTGATGGCTGGTTTGGACCACTAGCTTTCCTCACGGAAGAAAAACTCAGACTGGGGCTTCAGAGGCTGGCTGCCCCGGATGGAGAAGTGCTTTCCCATTTTCTGAAGTCTTCCCTCAGTTACTCTTTATCCTAAATGATAGGCAGTTAAACCCTCTGGCCTCGGTACTCTCCCGGCACACTCCCTCCCATTCCTCAGTTAACTGCCAATAGAAATTATAACCCCAACAACGCAGTGAAAATGTAGTGAACTAGGCATGCTCCTTTTATTTATTTTTAAATACATTTTTATTGATTTCAGAGGGAGGGAGGGAAAGAGGGAGGGACGGAAACACCAATGATAAGAGCCTCCTGCATGCCCCCTACTGGGGATTAAGCCTAAAACCCTGGCATGTGCCCTGACCAGGAATTGAACTGTGACCTCCTGGACCTCCTGGTTCATAGGGGGGGATGCTCAACCACTGAGCTACACCGGCAGGGGGCTAGGCATGCTCATTTTATGACTCCATACTATCCAAACTGCTCTGAGACGCATGAATGCAGAGCCTTTAACTCCTTGACTCAGTATTTTCAGCTCTGGAAAGCTAATCTGGAAAAGTATTCCATGGTTAAATTATTGTATACCCACTCAAAGGAGTAAACTGGCCTCAAAAATAAAAAGAAACCCCATACAACGGCAACTGCAGCTACATTAGCACGATAGGGCCTCTGAGACAGAAACACTTCCATCAAATAGGATTTATACTCTGTGATTTCTTATATGGTTTGATTTTTGCAAACAGGCTCGGGCTCCTTCTCCCGCTCCCCAGGGGACTCCGTGAAACCCTGTCCAATGCACACATACAGAATATTTCCTACCGGACACTCTCCGAGTCTTGAATCCCAAGTCATTAAGCGCCTATTTCCAGGCCCCATGTAGGGGGTTTCTCACACTTATTTAGCCTCATAAAAGCCCTGCGGGGAGGTATCCGGGCCTTAATTTTACATATGAAGCAGCAGCTACTCAGCATATTAAGTCACTACCCAAGGTCACACTGGGCTTCAGAGCCCAGAGACAAACATCTGGTCTGCGGGCTGGCTGTTCATGGCTCTTTGCAGGTGTTCTCTCGACCCTTAAACCCAAGCTAACTGTCACAACGAGGACCATCCCCACACGGGCGCTATCACACCATCATCCAAGGTGGACGGCCTCTCCTGCGTTTCCGTCACAGGTCCCGGGGCCGAGACTCACTCTGCCTCCCGAGTGTGAGCCGCACGTTAGTAAATCGCTTTCACCAAGTCGTTAGATGCCCAACATATGTTACGCCTGGCGTGACGGGGGCTGTCACAGAAAGGAGCGGGCTGGCTGGGCCCCTACGGCCAGCGGGGTTTCCTGGCTTTGTCCACGGGCCGTGGGGCTCTTCTCCCCCAGGGCCACGTGGGAAGGCGCGAGCATCTGACCGGTCGTAGAGGCGTCCGGCCAGGGCCCGGGGCGCCGCGCGTCTCCCCCCGAGGGTCCCCCCAACCCGCCCCTCCCAAGGGCTCACCTTGTTCTTTTCGAAGGATTTCGCTCTCATTAGGAATGCCAATTGGAGATCTTCGACGTTCAAAACGCTCCTGGGTAACGGGCACACGTTGTACGCTTTGGTCCTTAACTCTAAACAAACAGATTGGCTAGGTGATAAATTTTCTACACGGTTTAATTTAGCTAAGGTAAACTGGGGCTGGTCATTGTCAAATATTTTCAAGTAATATTTCAATAACTATAATACCAGAGAATATTTAATAATCATTAAATCATTGTCATACTCGTGGAAAATACGAAGAGTATCAAGTATCACTTCTTCGTATCCTTATCCCACCAACGCATATATATAAA